CCTTCAATGTAAGTTGTTTAAGTTGCTTGGTTTTTTTTATGCTAATACTTTCTCTTTAATTCTATAAAAAGGCATAATTTCTTGTTTAGTTACAAGGGTATCAAAATTTACAAAAAAAAAGTAACATTTATTTGTTTACTTTATTAAACATTTCCTTCAATGTTAGTTGTTTAAGTTGCCCTTTTTTTTTTTTTTTTTTTTTTTTTTTGTGCTAATACTTTTTTTTTAATTCTATAAACAGACATAATTTCTTGTTCAGTTACAAAGTTCCACTATTCAAGTCCTGTAATTGCTGTGTCGAGAATTCTGACTAATGTGTCAATCGAAATTTTTCGTTTTAAATAACCTCTCTGTCACTTTCTTCACTATCGGTAGAAGTATTTTCTGGATCTAGAAACATACCACAGATTTCGCCGTCCGTTAATTGACTGATGATTGGGGCATTATCGCTGTGAAAAACCTGTGTTATATCATCTTCATTTATTACTGCTTTTCCACATTTTTTTACAAAATCCATTAATTGGAAGATTTAACCTTTGGTTTGCGATATCTGAAAACCTTCAAATTTGCAGCTATCATCTTCATCATCCTCAACACGAAGTATGGTGGCTGGCCATAAGTTATGCCAAGCATTTTTTAAAGTATCTGGAGACACATTATTATTTTTAAAGTATTTGGATATCCTCCCACAATCTTGCAATCCTCCTTACAGCAGATTTTATGCAAAACTATTTCAAGCATTCTTGAGTAGTCTCGAGAAATTTAACATGGATTTTAAAAATGCTACTTTATGTTTGCATTTCAGTGAGTGCACTATTCCTATATCCATAAGCTGATGACAGACATACAATTTGGAGGAAAGAATAATGCAGATACATTATCTTTCACTAAAACCTTAAGTGAAGTATGAGTCAAGCAGTTGTCTACAATCAGGACAACTTTTGCATCATCAGGTAAACCAGCCAAATTATGCCGAGCCTCAGGTATAAAATGTGGTTTTCTCAATGTGTAACATGTATATGAGGCAGTTCCCCTTAGAAAGTCCTCCACGAAGGCATTCCTCCCCTTAGGCAAATAGTCCTAGTGTGCTTTGCCATAGTTAAATAAAGCAAACCAAACCAGGTATAAAATGATTTTCAAACCAGTAATTCATTAACACTTGTGACATCCATGCTCTTTTATTTGCACGATATATAGTGGTGAAAATTATTATTCCTTTAAATGGTCATGTATTTTTTACAATTACAAAATGTTTGCACTTGTGCATTCCTGCAGTATCTGTGCATGCTAAAATTGTTAATCTTCCTTTGGAATCTTTGACACCAGTTGGAGCCTTTTTTGTAGAGATTGGCATGCTATTTCACAGTACATATTGCCAGAAAAGACCAATTTCATCAGTGCTGTAACTTTCTTCTGGAGATAATTTTTCACTAATAATGAGCTCAAAGAATTCATCTGCAAATAGTTCAGCAGCTTCAGTATCAGCTCAAGCTTTTTCACCTGGAATTTTTTAATTTCCTTATGCCATGTCAATTTTTAAATTTGTTTAATCAACCTGTCGAATATGTATACTCAGTTTTGAAGTTAATTTCTTCATGAAATATTTTGGCTTGAACTATCAGCATTGGACCCGTCAGTGGCATGCCCTCACTGGACACTGTTTGACCCATTAAGTCATCACTTTTACCATAACAAACAATTTTTATGTTATTCATTGCAAGTGGGGTGTCTGGATCCACAAAAAATTCAAAAAGTTAATTTTTCTTATGTCATATACAGTTGACTTTCCAATGCCATACTCCTCGCATAATTTTGAGATGGATATGCCTTTACCCATATTTTGCAGCAGTTCCACTTTTTGTTTAATGGACATCAAAACATGCTTTCGCTTTGTAGGTACTGTTGCAGTTTCAGAATTAGAAACTCTTTTCGACATAAACCAAAGTTCAAGCTTTAATTTTCATAAAATTGCTGTAATAATAACAATCTGCAAAAAATAATAAGCTGGATCAAATTAGAAGATTAAGGAACAGAGCAATCTGCTATATGGACTGAAATTCCTTAAAATCAGTAAAGTATAATATTTAGCCTAGCATAATAGTGTCCGCTGTACATTATTGGTTATGTATCATGAGATTGGCGATGAAAGACAAGTTGTTCAGCTAAATTTTGTCTTGCTGAATTAAGTACATGTTAAATCACGTACTGAATTAAGCCAGAATTGTATTAGTTTAGTTATTTATTATACATACATCTATTTCTTGCACATGCTTAAGGCTTATCAAAGGCTGGTGCTAGATTTTGCCGGATGCAGTCTCTGTGGGTCCTAAATTCTGCTACAAAGTGCCTAAATTCTAAAATTTTGCCGCCCTAAACTTTGGATCCAAATGCTTTCCCTAAATTTTAAAAATTCCGTCATCTCTTAATTTTGCCACTCATTGCTACTTCAAATTTCAAAAGTTTTGTCTTCCCTAAATTCTTAATAAGGAGTGAGATAATGGATTATCTAGAAGGCATGGATTCAAGCCCACTTCCTGGCAGCAATCATTACAGAATGCCACATTTGCTTTCAGTAGCAGGAGCAGTTATATGAGTTTGTTGTTGTTCCCTAAATTCTGCTGCCCAGTGCAGCCATACGGGCTCTTAACACTGGTTCTGGGTTTATGTGAATAATATATCAGTTATTCTTAACTCAAATAACACTAAATGTAATCTTTTTGCCCATGAGCTTCATTAACAAAATCTATTTTTAGCATATGAAAAGAAATTTTTGTTAAATGTTTCCTCGTCAACATTTCTTGGCTCATTTTCTTAAATCTGTAATCATCACCAAGCGTAATATCAAGATAAAAGGTTGCCATACTCTTTGTTATTCAATTACTAATGTTAAAAAAAATTTTAGATGTCACTGTGGTAGTCATTACTCAAGTTATCATGTGTTGATAAAATTACTAAAACAAAATATAATAAATAATGGTTGAAAACAAAATATAATAAATAATGGTTCACCAGGTTGGTGTCAGAGATATAAAATACCAGTAGGTATAAAATCAACGATGTTTATATATGGAATGTTTTGGTTTGAGATGTATGCCAAGCAGATACACAGCTATGAAGCCAAATTATTAAATTTCATAAATTTATGCTAAAGTGATTGTTTCTTCAATAGCGAGGTATTTTATGTAGTGCCCAAGTGAAATTAAGAATCGGGACTCTGCACATGTTTTATTATGAGAGTAAAAAATCAAATAAGCATGCAAAAAAAATATTTGTGGCTTTGAGGTCCAGATTTTAGATCATTCGGGATACTGAACGTCCAGATCTCGAACTTTGTAGTGTAAAATGTTCGAGTTTTCAGCAAATGGCATCATTGTGGCCTCAAACTGGCTAGCCCAATGTTAACTTGTTACTTCCTGACACAGTAAGAAAGGTACATGGTAAGAACTGTTGATTCAATTACATCTGTGCAAAGGAGGCTACAAAATTTATGAAATTAAACCACTGATTATTTAACAGCTTTCAAAAACATCATAGTGAAAATCAGTGTGTCATTTGAGGTATTCTGTGAGAACTGTCTGAAACGTTTCTGACCTGAATATGTAGATGGCAGCCCAAATCAACTGAAGTGGAGGGGAAACTTGTTAAGCATCACTTGATAACTACCAGTCAAAATTTCAGCTATTTTGAATTTGAATTTTTTTGTTTGACAATAACTTTGAGTTGATGTGAAAAGTGGCTGTACCAGCTTGGATGATGATGAATGTTCGTGACGGCCAAAAACTGCAACTACTGACGAAAACATCGCTAAAATCCACCAAATAGTGCTGGGTGACCTTTAAATCAAGGTTAAAGAGCTAGCAGAGGTTATGACCATGTCCAAAGAACATGTTTGCCACATATTGAACCAAGATTTAGATATGTGCAAGCTGGCTGCATGTTGGGTGTCGGGTTTGCTCACTTTGGACCAAAAAGGTGTCCATATGAACATTTGCACAATACTGTTGGTACAATTCAGGTGCAATAAGTAGGAGTATTTTCAACTGTTAATCGTTAATGAAATCTGACTTCATCATTATAGCCCAGAAACAAAAGCACAGTCAAAACAATGGACTGCAAAGAGAGAATCAACTCCCAAAAATGGCAAAAACTGTTTCTTCCGCTGGGAAAGTGATGGCAACAGTTTTTTGTGACAGCTGGGGGATTGTCTTAATAAATTATCTTGAAAAGGGAAAAACCATTACTAGAGCATACTATGCAACATTCTTTTACAAGCTGAAGGCAGAAATTGCAGAAAAATGGCCACGTTTGCAAAAAGAAATTTGTTTCACCAAAACAATGCTCCTTCTCACACCTCAGTGATTGTAATGGCGAAAATCCATGAATTACGGTTTGAACTGCTTGACCCTCCCCCAGCCTATTCACCCGACCTGGCACCAAAGCAGCATTCAGAAATGTCTGTTACAGTTAACAACCTTAATTCTAATCCATCTTTACCGTCAGCCTTTAAGGAAATTATGTTTTAGTTTTCTTGTGTCTTCAATAAATGGTGCCAGCAGCATAACTCCTGTCCAGCCATTCTTATCTTAGCTGGTTCATTTGCTCTTTGGCAGCTGAGGATGATGGTTCAGTAAAACCATCAAAGCTAGTCCTGTGAAAATTTGCAAATATAACACTGATGTTTGTTGTTTGACTTTTAAATTAACATTTCTATGGTTGTACTCATGCATAGCTTAGATGCAAGTCAGTTTCCCTTAAAATGTCCTCTATGAGGTCATCCCTTCCCTTAGGCAGATTAGTACTTTGTTGCAATCAAATAAGTCAAACTAGACTGGATTTAAAAATTTTTTCAGTGCTTACTTATTAAGCTGAAATAATGATTAATTTGAAAAGTTAAATATCCAACTGAGACCCTTTTTTTTATACTTATGTGAATTTCTTTAAAAATGTTTTCGCTTTTAATATGTGACAACTTGATTTCATTTATTTATTTACTCCTCCAGGTTGATAATGTTATTCAAGAGACCAAAAACTTAATGAATGTTATTTCGAAAGTAGTGACAACATGTCTCTATTGTGCTACTAAGGTATTTTTCTAATTCACTAATAATTTTCATATAAAATTTTTCTTCATATTTTCCTTTTTTTCATTGTAACAAGCAATTATTGTGTTGTTATTTTTAGGTATATAAATAAACTTCCTGCGCATGAATATCATTTTTAGAGACTAGCAATTTTTTTAATTTAAAAATTAGATTTTTCATGTGCCTGTAAATTAAATTTTTAATTCTAATTATTACTTGAGAAGGAAAATCAGTAATAATAGTTTTAATAATATTTCATTTTTCTAAAGTTGTTTTAAAGTAAAGGTACATTGCTCTTTAATATTTCTTAAGTAGTTGTGTATTTCTGAAAGAAACTGATTAATGTCTAAATCATGACTTGTCAATTAAATATATAGTCATAAAAATGTTCTTATCACTAAAATTTCTCAAGAGTATTCAAAATGTCAAAAATAAATGTGCAATCAGCTATCTTGCACAGTATTTAAAGAAAACTGATTTTTAGTTACACTCTTACTAGGTATAAATAATTTCCTAATCATAACTGCTTATGAGGTGCTGAACTTGAACTCTAGTGATCAATTATTGAATAATTTTTAATCTAGTTATGTTATTAATTTAACTCTTCTTTGAGTATATATTTATTTCTTCATCAATATTTTTTTAGGGTTTTCTTCATTGAAGTTGTTTGAAAAGTATTAACCCTCTGACTGCTCAATTTGTGGACCGAAATCGCTTCCAAAATTGTGCTTTTTTTTTTTTTTTTTTTTTTTTTTTTTCTTCCTAATACATATTTTAAATCTATATATATTGGAGAATTGAAAAATGCACGTTTTCTTTCTACAAAATATTTTTTATATAGATTTTTATCATGAGAAACTAAGTTGCTAGAAAAACCAATTTCAGATGTTATCACTAAAAAAAGATCTTTTTAAAAATAAATTTCAGTTGAATTACAGTTAATTTCTATTTATTGCATAATATAAAAAAGTAAAATGTATAAAATTTAAGAAAATATAAAGCGCTGAGGGAAAAATACCTTAGAAATGCAGTTTAGTATGATAGAGTTCAAAACAGGTTCAAGGCAAGGTTCAACTTCACAGTTTTTGCACCAGATTCAATAAATCTAATTAATAATCAATCAAATTAATAATTCAATAATTTAATTAAATAATTAAGATAATCGCTGAACGTTTTCTAGCAGCCATTTCTGTAAGGATAAAGCGGCAAAAAGGGAAGTTTGAGCGCTAATACCACGTGCCTTCAAATGCTGCAATTTAGTGGACAACTGATATCTGTTGACCAAAGCGTAACCTAAACGCCTTATACTGTATATAATTTATTTCAATGATTAAACGGGGGGAAAATGGATGCGCTCCTCAATAAAGGAAGAAAAACATAAATCGCGAGATAAGCAAATTTTGCTACATTTGAGTTGCCCGTGGAAATCGCGGGATGATCAGCCAGAGGGTTAAGAAAGAAATGTAAAATTTACTGTTTGCCCACACTTTCAAAATCCATTATTTCATGATAACTATTGCAGTTCAATTCATATGTGTGAATTGGAACTGCATTAACGTTATCTGGAAGAGGCTTTAGAATTAAATCAGTTACTTTGATATTTCACTTATGGGTTACTAAAATTGACTCTTCTGTTCTTGATGTCTTCTATTTTTAATAAATACATGAATGGTAGAGGAAAAAACTGATCAAATTTAGTAGCATATTGAGTACGAGTCATCACCATCGAGATAGATAAGGCCTGCGCTCTGAAACGAAACTGGCTTGTGACGTCACGGTTAAGGGACCCTCAGCAAACTTTTTTGTTGGCTTTTATAAGTTGTAATTTTTTATTCATTATGTTTTAAGAATTGAATTTTATGTTTACTTTTGACATCTGAAGCATCATCCCTTGTAATAATTACTAACACTAGTAATATAAAAATTGTCAGCAAAATTTATGATTATTTATTTTAATTGGAAAACTAATTTATATGAAATAACTGTCCTAAGGGGTTAAAAGCATAACACTTATTTCATTAAATATGTAGGATATCAAATGCAGAGTAAATTTTGATTCTTGGCAGAGTACTGTGTTCTTTAATTTAAATATCAATGTTTTTGCAAATCATTAAATATCATTTTATCATGATGAAACTTAAATGATATGTTTAGCTAATATAGCTTCGTTCACTTTTATATGTGTTATTATTATGCAATCAGTTTGTTTAAAATTTGTTATGCAATATAAATCTTTCTGAGAATGATAGAAAAGTTTCTAAAGTAATGTATGTAAGATTCATATTAAGGTAATTAAATGCGAAACTGCAAAATGAAATTTTAAAAAGTACAGTTATTGAAGAAGAGTAGAAATTGAATTCATATGTAGACATATTTGTTTTCATTGTATTTCAATTCAATGCAATTTTAAAAAACAATTTTTTAATTATCTTTTAAATTACAATCTTTAATTTGAGTACATGGCACCACCAAAAGCTATGTAAGTTAAGTTAAAAAAATTGCTTACATTATACAGAATTTTGAAATGATGTTGGATTTATATTTCTTTTCACGTGGATATTAATAGAAAAATATTTTCAGACAGAGGTAAGCTTATAGTAATAGGTATGAGTAAATATTTGCAAGAAATCAGTTTCTAAAGTTTTAAGTATCGATATTTTAAATATTTCAAAAAAAATGGTGTAAACTTTATTTAAAAAATTTTTGCCTGTCTTATTTGAACTTTAATATTGATAGTCTAGAGCTATGTAATAACATTATCTCCAATAACTGCAGATTCTGTCGAATATATGTAGCATTAAAGGAAAACATTAACTTAATACAGATTAAAATACAATAGGTAAGTAAGAAATAATTTTAAGACTAGACTATTTAGTAATTTACATTAGAAAATTCTGACTGATATAAGGCATTTAATGTTAGTCTAAATATTAAGTAGTCTTTGCCTTTGATGTTTATAATCTGCTACATTATATATAGATATAAAAAAATACAAAACTATAGAAGAGAGATGCAGTGTTCCCACTGGCAAACATTTTGTTAAGTAGTGGGTTGAAACAAAAAAATTGATGCGGTGATGAGATCAACAAGAGACACAAAGACAGTGCAGAAAAACAATCAAGTAAAAATTTAGCTTAATGAATTTAAAACCAATTTTTCAAAGAAATGATTTGCTTTAAAGCCCACACATTCTCAAATAATTTGTTTTGAAAAATAAATACCAACAAAAGAAAATAAAAATTTATCGTATAGCTTTGTAATATTATATTGCCGTAATTTGTTTAGATGATTTATGTATGAATACCAATATAGAATGTTTAGAAAAACGGGTGTTGCAAGGAGCTAACGGCACGAAGACGGTCCCTAGCAGTGACGTCGTAAAATCACGGCAGCCTATCTTCTTGATGGTGACAGTAGGAGTACAACATCTGTGATATTAAAATAAAATGCAGCAAATCTGTATTGCAAAAATAATGAGATTGGAAAATGTCTGAGCATCCTAGGAAAAAAACTGATTCAAATTTAGTAGCATATTAAGTAGGAGTACAACATCTGTGATATTAAAATAAAATGCAGCAATATCTAGGCATTGCAAAACATATAAATCAGAGACTGGAAATGTTCTTGAGCACTCCTGTATGCAAAATGACAGTTAACAAGAGTCGAGGCTGAAAACACTTTCATACCTCAGTTATATTCTGTTACACCTTACATACCTCAATCATATTCTGTTAAATCTTTTTGTATTATTTATTATCTATTCAGTTTTTTCCGAAACCAGGAAATTTATTCGGGCTGTGTTTCAAACTTTAAAAACATTTTGTTTCAAAATAGCCTCTGCTGGCATTGCCTACCTGCAGATTTTTAAAGTAATTATAAAATATAGTCAGTTAAATAATGTAGTTGACATACTATGAAATACACAGACTGTACTTGAGTTTTATTTCAAAAGGATGGTACATGTTTTTTATGCATGTGTGCCTGGAGTTTGCATAAGATGAAAAGTATTCAACATTGGCTGTGAGTTTTGTAGTATTTTATGCTGCTAAATCATATTCCAACAATTCATAACAGCTTATGTAATTTTTTGAAGTACAAAGGCCTGTTAGTTGCTAGCCATGAAACAGTGCAAAGTCTATACTAGATATTATTCCGTACTTTTACAGGCTGGCTGCATGAGTTTTTATGATTTTACTCTTGTATAGTATGAATTAATTTCCATTTAAATATGCCCTCCCTCTTTTTGTGAGTATTTCTAGCAGGTTTTACCATAATTAAATAAATCCACTAACCAAAAATTGCTGGTTAAGCCTAAACTAGAGCCTGTACAATCCAGCCATATGGTTGGTAAAATTGTAGAAGTGGAAAAGATTGCACCAGACCTAATGCATGCTGGTTTTCCAGCAAGATGATAATGAAGCAGTTGTGTTTCATCCTTGACAGTAACAGCATTTAGGTATTTTCCTTCATTGTGGCTGAATTTTATTAGATTCACTCAGATATTTGCTTTCACTTCAGTTCTGGATTGAATAAATATAGAACCCAGCTGTACAAATGACCATGGATCATTTATTAGTACAAAAGGTACATCATAAAGGTTTTATCATCATCAAGATAAAAGGTACATCATAAAGGTTTTATTGTCATCAAGATAAAAGGTACATCATTTATTAGTTAGTGGTGAATCAGCATGTAGGGCTGCATTTACTATTAGGCAAAATATGCAGATACCAAGGACCTGCGGGGAAGATGAGCCTGCACAAACACATTTGTCATTACTGCAGGAAATGGATTTTATATGTCATAGCTCATGTACATGAATCAGCTTTGCTTTTATATGTATAGTTAGTGAATAATATCTTACTGCTGAATTTAGTGCATCTGTATAGTAAAATCTGCTGAGTTTTCCCAATTACTGCTGTTTTAGACTTTATTTGTGAGTAATTTGAGTGCTCTGTCATATGTCCTCAATGTTAAGAAGCCTAGCCTGATTTTATTACCTGTATTCATCTCAAGTTAAATATAATTTCAAGTTGTCATTTTACCCAGCCTAGTTATTTAACTCTCTGAGCGTTATGACCGGGTTTATCCAGTCATCAGAAGTTTTGCTACTTTGCAAATATTAGCTTATAATTTAAGATATTTTGCTTTCTTAAATAATGTAAATATCATCTTAATGAATGTAAGTTTATGAAAATACAGACTAAAATAAGTAATTATACAAACTAAATTAATGAGTGCTGTTTAAATACTGGTTTTCATGATGGATCTAAAATCCTGTGCCACTGAGAGAGTTAAGATCTGTACAAACCCACTGCTTATGTCTTTATTCTTAAGACTTAAAACAGTATGTTCTTTAGGCCATTTTATTTAGTATTGTTATGACATAGATATTAAATTTATGAGAAATCTAATTCAGTATTTACATATATATTTTTTCCCTTTGACAGTTTTCTATTGATTTTCATAATGTGTTGAGTAAAACACACACTGTTTCCCCATACCAAAATGATTTAGAAGACTACATATTTGAAAGACCTAGTGGAACAAGTAATGTTCCTTCAACTGATTCTGGACCAGATACATCAAAGGCCAACATCTGACATTATGGTCTTGGTCCCCAAAGGTCGAGGGACCCTCGTCGTACTAGAGTATCATTTTTACTTTACTAACTGTCGGGTAATGACTAAGTATAACTAAAATGTTTTATAAAATTTTGTGATTGTATGAATGTGTCATTTTTGTATCCACTTTTGGTCAGTGATGAAAGATTGTGAAATTTAGTCATTTTGAAATCCAAAGAAATTTTGCGTATTTGGCAAAAAAATGTGCAATAGAACTGTGCCATGTGAAATACTTATTCATTATTTATGTGTGTAACGTTTTCTATATTGTTATAAGTAATGCTGCCTGGCAGCCTATGAATGGCATTTATAATTTTAAGAAAGTTCTTTGTAACCTTAGTAATGTTTGTGACTTTCATATTCATTGTACAAGTACCTTACTTTCATAGGTTAATTTGTTGTCCTTCGCTGGACTTTTTAAAAATAATTATGTACTGTGTTTGTTTTATAAACACACAAACACAGGCATCCATACATACATATATATATGTATTGAAAACCAAAGGTAGTAATTTTAATATTTGTTTAGGAAAATATTTTTTGTATTATAAACAAAAAATTTGACTGGCAAGCACATCATTGCTATTGCTGGGACCCTTATTGTACTAGAGTACCATTATTACTTCACTGGCTGTCAGGTATTGGTTAAGTGTAATTGTTTTATAAAATTTTATCATGGTATGAATGAGTCATTTTTGCATCCACTTTTCATCAGTGATGAGATTGTAAAATTTAATCATCACAAAATTCCGAAAGAAATTTTGCCGTATTTGGCAGAACCAAATGTGCCATATAAAATACGTATTCATTATATTATGTGTGTAAAGTTTTCTACATTGTTATAAGTTAATGTTGCCTGGCAGCCTGTGAATGACATTTATAATTTTAACAAAGTTCTTTGTAACCAAAGTAATGTGTGTGACTCGTATTCATCGAACAAGTATCTTACCTGTCATAGTTTATTTTTGTGTTCTTTGCTGGACATTTTAAGAAATAATTATCTACTATGTTTTTATACATATATATTGAAAACCAAAGTTAGTAATGTTAATATATGTTTAGGATAATATTTTTTGTATTATAAAAAAAAATTTGGCAAGCATTTCAGTGCTGTTGCTGGGACCCTTATTGTA